TTTAGGCTTTAGTCGTTGTAGGCGCTGCTGGCCGGGGTCTGTCGCTCAGGGTGAGCCCAGGTCCCAGAGGGCCGGCCGCTCGGAGCAGAGGTTCCCAGCCTGAGCCGCCATGGCCGCTGTGCTGGGCTGTCGTGTTAACTCACCGGTTCGGGTGAGCGTTGGCTTCTTAACCCAAACCTTGCTCCGTGCCGCCATGGAGGTGTGTGAAAGAACTGCACAGGGGTAAGATTAAATGCTTGGTTGTGTCGAATTTACTGGTAAAATGTTCACTGGAAAAAGGAAGTACTGGGAGTAAAAGCGTGAGTGAAATTCATAGCATATGAGCCAAACTCTATTGTTCTGGGTTTTTTTATGTGATAAAACATCTGGGGGATTATCAAGCCTTTGGAATTCTCTAAAATGAATTTTTCTGCCTACTGTTGCAGTAACTTAGACAGAAGCTTGTTTACAAGGTGTAGACTGGAAGCTTGTTTACTAGGTTTAGTGATTTTTCTCATCTAAATACCATGCTTTAGAAGCTCTCTTTTTTTTAAAAGTTGTAGATTGTAGTATTGATAAACATCCCATAAAATCGTGAATGTCATAGCTAGCAGTGCTTTCACCTAAAACATTTCACTTCAGGTCTGTAAAAGTCAATTGCAGTAGTGCTAGAAAGATGGCTGTGAAAGGTGGTGGCACGTACAAAATACAAATATAATCACTTTAAACTTTACTTTTTGTAAGTTAATGTTGGTTCCAAGTAGGTTTACTCACAAACTTTGAGGATGATATACTTAGTACGTAGGATTTGTCTTTAGGGGAAAAAAAAAAACCCACAAATTTCAGGTATTTGTTCAGAGTATTGGTGTTTACTAATACTTGCTTTAATTTGTAAACAGATTGCAAGGACTGATCAGTGTCAGTGGCTTCTCCTGAACATTCAAGACCTGCAGCTGCTGGGTACTTTAATAACTCCTGAAATCATATTAGAGGATTGGGATGCTTCATACCTGTCTTGCAGCAGAGATTATTCAGCAGCATTTAGTAAACTGAACGTGAAGTGCAGAGGTGGAGGTTTGGTGTTGTTCTCTAGGCCTACTTTCAGTATAGAGAAGTGGTTCTCCTTTCACACCAACAGCTACTTGAATTTTTCTGTCTCGGATGCCTGAGTGCCAGTCTGCTCTAGTTAGATGAGGCTACAGTGTTGGAGTGAGCACAGAATTGCCCTCAGTGTTGTTGTCGTGACAGCTTGGATTCCCTCAAATACACACAGACAAGTTTTTAAAACTGCAATTATGAGGAAGAGTGTAGCTTACTGTTCCTTAATTTCTGTGTGTATCAGTGGGCTGTCTTATAATTCATAATAAATACTTAATTTTTTTTTTCTTTTTTAACCAAAAATAATGACAAGCAAAAACCTGTTTCTGAAAAAGTCTCACTTGCCTAAATTGCTAATTTTTTGAGACAGTCCTGGATATCAGGAAGAGGGGATTATTTGACATGGAGTTTGGTTCTGGATTTCCTAAGATTGCTTTCGCTCAATGTGTTGGTATTTCAGCTTTATACTAAAGGATTTACTTCTGTGCAGTGTATTTAGATAAAGTAGAATGGTCACTGAGCAAAATTCTTATTCTTGAACACAGGAAGCACCACATAATGTTATACTCTGAACAAAATATTCTGCATGAAGTTTTAGTCTTCATTTCTATGTAAGAAAGACCATGTGTTTCTGAAATGCCTCCTTTCCTGAAGGAAGCATTTTGTGCGTTTCAGCTTTGTTTCTCTTGGTGATGTGTTTAACAAGTCTTGTGTACTGTGCCACTAACTGTGAGAAGCTGAATGTTAGGGTTTGCTCAGGAAGACTTTTTTGGTGGTGTTCCAGGACATAATGCAGTTATCCAAGTCTCTTACTGTCTTGCTTTTGAAAGAAATCACGATGTGTTATGATACTGGCAAAATAATTAGTTCTTTCTCATGACCATGGCTCTTCATGTTCTTTTTCTTTGCCTAGACCATGACAAAATGTTTAAGATGAGTGAAAAGATCTTACTCCTGTGTGTTGGGGAGGCTGGAGACACTGTACAGTTTGCAGAATACATCCAGAAAAACGTTCAGCTCTACAAAATGAGAAATGGTGAGTGAAGGAGAACGGTTACTCACTGAGGGTTTGGAAGCAGAGTTTGTGATAGGTATAGTTTACAGTTGAATGTTGGTGGAAAGTGCTGTTCTCAAAGCTTCTCATGCTTTAAGGATTTGTGCATTTTTTTGTGTCAAGCAAAGGTGGTAGTGAAGACAGGATGAAGAAACGGAGATTAGACTATATAGTATAAACCAAGAGGTTTATCCAAAGCCCAGCTAACCTATTTGTAATATAAATGACACAATAATAGGCTTGTTATTAAATATTTCTCTTAATATGTCCATTGCATGACAACTGTTATCAGTTTTCCTGATACACCAGACTGAAAAATTCAGGCTACGTGCCCATAGTATTTTAATTTTTTTGAAGCTGTCTATTTTAATGGTATATGCAGATATGAGCTACCTGGATTTTGAGGGCCCTTTTTATGCTTGTAGCATTCAGAATAAACTGGAATTAGACAAATGACACTTTGTCATTAAAGAATATCTTGTTATTTCAAAATAGGAATGGAAAGTCAGGAAGTGGAACATGAATATGGATTTGTACTGTTATCAAATGCACACATTTCTTCTCTAGGTTATGAATTGTCTCCTACTGCAGCTGCAAACTTTACACGACGAAACCTAGCTGACTATCTTCGGAGTCGAGTGAGTAATAGCCAAAAGATTTTGGCAAAGGCTTACAGGGGAAAATTTCCATTTTCAAGTAATGGAGTCTGATGAAAAAGGTGGCGGCTTCTGTCTTTAGTGTTGAATTCACTTTGCTGAAAGGATGTTTTATTAAAATATAACTTGATTTGCTTATTTAAAAAACTTAGCACATCACTTATCAATAGTTGATACAGCTATAGTCTTAAAATTTCAGCCTTGGGCCTGATAAACATTTTATTACAAACACTGCAGACAGCTGAGTGAAATAAGCCTCTTTAACATCCAGATAAGGTTGTCAGTTTTCATGCAAATGCACTGGATCCGTTTAATCTTCTTGGAAAATGATTTAATAGAGCAAAGCTGTTTGATGTACTTAGCAAAACAAGTCCCTTTTCTAAACAGCAACACGAGGCTTTCAGTAAATATCAAGTCCAAGTTGGAGCTGTATTTTCAAGTTACTAAACTGCAATTACTAATTTTTCTCATGGCAATTTTTTCAAAGTATGAAAAGATGTCATGAAGGGGCAAACAGACTTTTAAAGATCCAAGATTAGGAAGCATTTCATGAGCATTCTTCTCAACATGCTATATGAAAGAAAACAAGAAGAAATAGGAAGTTGAGAATGAAGTTGAACAACTCTGTTAGGGACAGGGCGTGGGATAAATTATGTTGCTGTTCTGACAGTATGCTGCACAGGCCTGAAATGATGTTTTACAGTAGCAAATAAAGGCCGGTATTAACATCAGGGCTGTATTGTTGAGAATTATACATGTGTGGAGTGAGGCCCAGACCCTTCTTCAAGAACTCGTCTGTGGGAATGACCAGAGATTGTTGTTCTTGTTTCTGACATGGATGACAGCTGAAGGCAGCAAGTTTTCAAGTTACTGAAGTTAGAGCGAGTCAGTAGAACTGAGTGTGGGGTCCTGCCTCAGTCTCATACATGAAACGCTACTCTTCTTGTTCAAATGACTTCTACCAACTACATGGATTAAGCGTGGTTTGTAGATGATGGCTGGCAGTGATGCTGCTTGCTTTAGCTTTTGCTCAGGTGTGATTTGGGAGGTCTGTGTGTGTTTTGTGGAACTCTGTGCAGTTTTTGAGGTTGATGTGAAGGAGTAATGCTGCTTGGTGCCTGGCCCAGATGGCTGTCGGCTGCCTGGTGCTGGTGGCTCGTCTCAAGGGCACCTGACCTGCACAGATGGTGTAGGTGAGGATGACTCTGAATGCCCACTTAAGCAGAGGCAGCTATTTCTTACATACGATTTAAAGTACCTCTAACAGGAGTAATTTAACAGGCTTTTTGGTAAACTTGCCCAGCAGGATTTGGCATTGATATGGCACTGTTGTCTTCCTCTGCCGTGTCCCTTGAGGCCTGATCCTCCCCGTCTCCCCTCCTTCCTGAGCCCGTGCCTGTCTTCCAGCTCACCTGCTCCAGATGGGCAGCACAGTGGGGAGGACACTGGCAAAGGCAGATGTGTTTATTTACCGGAGACAAAATGTTGTGCTGCTGCAGATGGCAATGCCCTGGAGCAAGCGACGCACTCTGACACTACTGTCACACTACAGTGATCTCTATACTGTAGGGAGAACTCTTTTTCTTTAAACATAGCACTTAATGGTTTGTTTGTGGGATTTAGAATTTGATGATACAAACCTTGCCATCAGAATTTTTTTCCTGTGAATTTTGTTAACATTTTCATCATAATTTGTGGGATACCAGAAGGATTAATGCTAGCTCTCTGTATCTATTTAAATTGCATATAGGATTCCTGGAGGCTACTAATTTAATTACGTGGATGATAAAAATAAAAAATGAGAAGGTAAAACATGCCACCGCCTCCTGTTAAGAGCAGGAGAGTAGTTTAGAATTAAAAAGTTTAGGGGAAAAGGTGGTTTGTTGCTGTATTGCCATTCACCGTGTGAAGCTGGTTCTGTTAAGGAGGGCGAGGAGGTATGTGGAGGGGAGTGGCTAACACTGAAGCAGTACTTTTACAGGCATTATATTGTTGTCGTGTCTCAGCCCAAAATAGAGCTTGTTCTGCATTGTTAATCACCATCTGGGTTCCCCCCTATGTTACCTCGTTTGATTTCATTTATGAACCCAGTGGCTCCAGTAGGCCCAGTTCCTGATGTCCTGGGGATGGCTGTCTTGCAGGGCAGTGCCTTGAAGTTGTTCTTTTGGTGGGAAGTATCAAGTGTAATGACACTGGGCTTGTAACTTAAGGCCATTACGGTACTGTGCTCTTTTACTGAATAGTCAACACGTGGTTTTTCATGACGTTGCTCTCTTTAAAACATGGGGGTTATGTGCCAGAGTAGGATCTGAAAAGGATCTTTATTCATTTCCCTTTATATGTTGCAACTGGGGCAAGCCTAGAAACTACTTTTGCATAGGTGAGTGGTGCTGTGGTTCCTCTTCCGTGGTTACTAATCGCAGCATCTCACTTCATTCACCTCCTGAATCAAGTGCCGGGGTCAGTACGTTTGACGTACTACTACCGAGATTGCGTGGTGGTGGGCAGTAGGAAAAAATAACCCCCTGCCCCTCCAAACCCCATGAAGTTCAGTTTCTTGTTGTGATGCTATGTTTAATTATAGGTGACAGGGTCTGGCCTGAGTCCAAAGGAAGACTGTCAGTTCCTCTCTCCTTGTCCACGCTTGGCAGGACGCTTCCTCACGCCCACCTTTCCCCCCTTGCTGTGACTTTGGCTTCCGCCAGATGTCACGCCGCTGCTTGTCACCGCCCAGCCTCCCGCTGCTGATCCTGTTGTTTTAGTGTATTTATCACGACCCTTCTCTTCAGCTGTAAATTCTGAAGAATTTCACATGTCTCTTAATTGCTGTAGTTATTTTAAATCAAACAGCATAAAGTGCAAAGCTACTTGGGATGAGAAATACTGCCTCTAATAGGAAGGTTAAGTTTGGGAAAAAAAAAAAAAATTTAACCTATCCTGGAGCGTTAGTCATCCACTCATTTGGTAGCCCTTTAATCGCACCAGTCTTCTAAAGAGTTTAGAACTGCTGGCATAGATTTGGTTACAAAAGCCAGGGCTGCCTTTGGAATGGATGAAAGGCTTGAGGTGTACAAGGAATACCGGTCCCAGCACAGATGTTAGTCCCGCTAAGACAGCAGTAAGGGGTGCTGTCTGCAAATTTCATTTGTAATCACAGAAGTAGTAAATAGATTATGTACGTTTTCTAATGTTTAAATCCTACCTTTCTTGAATAATAGGAGGGCATGGGGGATACTTTATTTGTGTTTGAGTTTTAAGAAGTTGTCTCGTAGACCATTAGCAGGAGAACTTACAGACTGAAAAACAGCTTACAGATTTGTTTTAAGTCTGTGTAACACCATTTATTTATGGTTGAGTATCTCGCATACACCAACGTTGGTAATTCAAAGTCACACAATAATTTGAGTGATCTTGTGTCATGGCTCTTAAATATCAAATTGTGTGATGTTTCACAATAAATAAATGATGAAATACAGACTAATTAAACGAATACAGCTGCATGGTAACTTGGTTCCAAATATTCTTGAATGCTTTGAAGATTAAATCACACAATTTAGTGATGTTTGATATATAACTGTAGCCTGCTTTATTCTTTCTTACTGTCTGGTGATGGTCAAAAATATAGTATCCTGTAATATTTTTTGAGTGCAAATTCACTGTGTTTGTTATCAAAATGAACTTTTTCCTGTGATTAAAGTTAATTGTTTTGGCTTTAGGGTGAAATTGTGTTTGCTTGTTCTAATCTGTTGTTAGTTGCATCATCATTTTTTTTTCTCATTTTGTTGCTTTGTTGCTCTAGTTTTGCCAGCATTTTAAGAGATATCCTGTTAGTATGATTAATAAGAAACATTATATAAATGTGAAAATACTGGAAGTATATAAAAGCAGTTTTAAAAAATATATAAATGCCAAAACTTTCTTCTGAGCCTACGTTTAAAAATAATACAGTGCATGCATGTTTCATGGTCTTATAAAGTACACATCTTGGACGAAGATGTATAGAGACATCTGCTTTTTTCATTATGGTGGAACACACTAAACCTAAAACACGAAGGAAATGACCAAGGAATTGCTGAACTTTCAAGTACAGCACAATAAGAAGGCATGTTTACATCAATACAGTTGCATGGTCCTTTTGGATAAGATGTAGATATTTCTCAGTCTTCTATGATAGGCTCTTGCTGAAGTCATAAAGAAGAATCAGAGAAGACAGCAGCTAAAGCAGGCTAAATTTCTAGTTTAAGAAAACTGTTTCCAACCAAAGAAAAAAGCTACTGCTAACATGGTGTTGCAGTATCTTAGTAGTCAGTTTTGAATAGAAATAAACCAATTCCTTAGATCTTCCTCATTCACTTGGTCAAGGTAGCCTAATATTAAAGATTAAACTTGGTATGTGCAATAAAAATCTAACTATCAATTAACAAGACTGTATATAACTGTTTACACTGTATGTAAGCTTTCATATGTGCTAAAATGGTCTATGGTTAGCGGTAGCGTGACTGAGAAAAAAGCATGCTAACTTAACAAAGAAGTTCTTATAAACTGCAAAATGTTCACATTGTGCTCACATGTCGACAGTAAAAAATCCATGAGTTTTATGCTGAGATGAAAGAATCTGGTGTGAAAACAGAATTAAAGTTTTCTTGAGTTTGAATGTGCCATGAAAGCTTTTTTTTTAAAAAAAAAAAACCAAACAAAAACACACACTAGTTTTCAGGAGAATCAGAGTTTTATGTTTTTATTTGCTTCTGCATTCCGTATTACCAAAAGACCTAATCATTTTTAGATGCTAGTAGCATTTTATGGCAAAGAATTGTGAAACCAACTATGTTGCTATTCTGTAGGTGGCATGGGGAATGAAGTTTCAAAGATTTGGGTGTGGCTGCTTTAATGAAAACATCATTTGTGTTTGTAGACCCCTTACCATGTCAACCTTCTCCTGGCTGGCTACGATGACCACGACGGTCCTGCCCTTTATTACATGGATTACCTTGCGGCTCTGGCTAAAGCTCCTTTTGCAGCACATGGATATGGTGCATTCCTTACCCTCAGCATCCTTGACCGCTATTACAAGCCAAGTAAGTGGAGTCTGTGGAGACAAACGTTCTCCTGTTACCAATTAATAAATTAAAGGCTTAAACTGAGAGATTGACATTTGCTGAGTCAGAAGGTCCAGCACAATTGCTGTGATGCTACAGATTTGAATTTATTAGAATAAATGTAGCTTTAAAGATTGCCTTCTGTTTTAGTTGAAATGGTAATGTGAAACTAGTAAGCTCCTTAAAGCGTTTTCCTGTTTGAAGCATAACAGACTGTAAGTGAAGGAAGTTTCAATTTAGTCTAAAACACGACTAGACTTTCCTGGACCATTAGCTGCTAGTAGTCTGTTTTTAATAAATAACATTTTGATAACTTTATCTTCTACTTGCTTGTCTGTTGGCTATGACATGCACATTTTCCCAGAGTATCAATGTTCAGAGGGCAGTCCCAGATCTTACTGCTCCGTATCTTGGATTGGCTTTGTGTGTGATATATTAAAAACATACAAGTGAAAAGAGATTCCTAGCAAGATTATATTCAGTATTCTGAAGTGGTGGTGATGAAGATTGGTTGGTTTGGTTTACAGTTTTGTGCACGTGGCAGCTCGTGATCATAATTCTTGTACATGTCTGTACCTGTCTAAAGTTTTAATTTTAGAATCCTAATCCAGTTCTTACACTGCCAAGGAATAAACGTGGCCCCATCCCCACTTTACAGATGCGGAAATGTACAAAGCTTGGAATATTGTTAGTCTGACATCTTTGGCTTTAGCTACAAAACTACTTCTGTGTGCAAAGCTGAGTTCAGTCTCATAGCAGAGATGTTTACTTAGTAATCCTTTCATCCATCTCCTGCAAGAAATGTAGCTATAAACTGACAATATTATTCTAATGGGACTTGAGCCTGAACAGTGGATGCAGGTCTGGAAGAAACTCTGGAAACAAGTTTTGTGAGATCCACAGAGCTTAGGGTTTTTTTTCTAGTCACGTCCCTTGAAAATTATATTGCTTGGTTTTCACCATTCCTTGTGAAAAGAGAAAAATAGTGAGCTACAATACGTTGTCATGGCTTGTCATCCCTATAGAGTGCTGGATTTTATCCTAATGTGTGAGAATAGCAGGGGCATCACACACGTGCCTTTCCCATTATTAAAACTAATACCCAGCAGGGAACGTAGCACTAAAACCAATCTCCGCCTACTGTCACTGACTTGCAGCCGGCTGTGGACAGATGGAGCCGATTTAAAACTGTAATAAACTCGAGGAGGGAGAGACGGCTGGACTTCTCCGAAGCCCAGTGCCTGGCCATGGGAGGCAAAATTCCGTCATGCTTCCCATTCAGTGTAACAAATCGATTCTCAATGGCTTGTTGCAGCGTGAGTGCTTCGGTGCAGGGCATCCTCAGTACATCTGGAAAGTGTTTTCTGTGAGCTGGGAAGGAGAGTTTTTGGTGCTCAGCTGAAAAGTTGTTTAAATTTAATAAAGTTTCTGTTGAGAGAGATGGCCTCTAATTAAATCAATCTGTGGATGTTTTCTCTTTCAGGTATCACACGTGAGGAAGCTGTGGAGCTCCTAAAAAAATGTCTAGAGGAGGTGAGTTGCCAAACTTAGGCCCTTATGATCTTGAGAAAGGCATGTTTGTTTGCATTCATTTGCTGATGTTTTCCTGTTCCTCTTGTCGCGTTTTTTGCTGCCTTTGACAGAAGGGGTAATAAATGCACATTGACCAGATATGGAACAGCTACTGAGGAAAGGGATTTGTGGGCACTTGCATTGTCTTAGCATGGTTCGTGTCCTCCAGAATGTAAACTTGAAGCTTAATTGCTTTTCTTTACTTCTGCTTCTTCCATGCTTAGCATAGTATCGATACAGAGAGTCTTTGACTTTTTCCTTTTGTTTCTTCTGAACGTAATGCAAGCATCCTTCTGTTATTTGTATTACACTTAACTAGTGTATACTTCTAAGTGTACTTCTCTTCCAGCTTGTGAAGTGATACCTAACTGAGGTAAATATTTGACCTTAAAGTTCACGATCAATTTTAGCGTAAACATAAGCTTTCGGACTCCAAGGCTTTTATTGTAGGAAAATATTTTTTATCCTTGTCTTTAAGAGATTGAATTGAATGTAACTGGGAGGAAACATCAGGAAGAAGTACTCTAAAGAGGTTCTGTTTGAAGTATCTTTTTGATACGTACACTTTGTGCCCTAAGTTGTAGCACACACTAGTCTTCCTGCTTAAAGGTCTTCCTCGTTAACAGGCTTGTGTATTTTGTGTCTCTAGGCTAGGCTCGTCTAAGATGGATAGTCTTATAACAGAGAACAAACTCACGCTGATTGATGCCTGAGCAGTGGGAAAAAAAAAAAACCACTCTAGTTCCTAATATTTCTGGTCACTAGAACCGGGATGGAAATTTTGATGTGCAACAGCATATCCCTTAAATTATGCTCTCCTCTTTTATTTAAGCTTTGAATGAATCTCATCTCTTTTGTCTTTTTGTCTTTTGTTGAACAGCTTCAGAAACGCTTCATCCTAAATCTGACTTCTTTCAATGCCCGGTTCATTGACAAAGATGGCATCCATGAAGTGGACAATATACCCCTTCCAAAAGTGATGTCCTAACCTCTGAGATCTTTCTTCGGCAGTCGTCTCTTTTATTCACTTTTGGTTTTTTCTATTCATTTGTAGCACACAAGTCGTGTACTGCACTGGGAGGTCAAATAAAGATTGACATTTATATAGCCAGTTTTATCTTTTTATTCCACTGATCCTTCCTGGGGGTATTTAAGTAAATTGTTCCACAGTGAAGGTGAAACTTGATTTACTGTTAATGGGTGCACGTTCAGGTAACTTATCTTTCCTCTTCTGAGATTTTTACTTCCCCCTCCCCATAAGCTTTATGTGTGGGAAAACTGGTACTATATCTTCTAGATGACGACGTGCTGTTATCCACTCTCATAATTAAAGCTCAACAAACGCTGGGCAGGTGTTTCATGCTAAACATACAGCATCTACTTTATTTTTCTGAAGATGTTACCACTGTTTGCTTTGTAAAACAGTAATAATCAGGTTTTCAAAGACTTAATTTGCTTTTGTAATACTTTGTTTCAATCTAATCCAAGTGAAAGGTGAAAGAACAGATTTTCAAGTAGAATGGATTTTAAAATGCTAGTGTCACTTTTAACTCACCTGGCCATGGTTCTGTTACTGGGAAAGAATATTCTCCTGCTGGCACAGTAGGCTCATAACTACGTTAAGTATTTTAAATATAAACTGATGTATCAATTGTGTGATTTTTCTTAATTGATGTCTGTACATTTAGAAGTACGTGAAAGCAGTTCAATGAGAAATAAAACTGCAGCACTTTTCATAAATCTTTGAATTACTCTCAGCTAGAGCTTTGTTTCCACGAGAAGAATCACTGGTCTGTCTAGGCTCTAGATGATGCTTCCGTATAAAAACTCCATTCACAGAACGGCCTCAGATAATTATCATGTGGCTGATACTTGCAGTCTGCCCAGAAGTGATTCTTCTGAGAATAGTTTTCATTGAGACTGCTTCCTTGCTTGAATTTGCATTGAGTGAGTTAACCATTGAAAATGCTCTGTTTGGGCGCTTATTTTATGTTTCAATAAGCTTGGAAAAAGAATCTTGGAAACAGAAGGATGGATAGGTGCAAGACTGCAGGCTGCATTACTTGTGTGGCAGGGCATGACACCTAAGTTGTCAGTTTGGAAAGGTAAGAGACAGACAGAGCTGTCTTCATTTGTCAGAACTTTTTTGGTCTCGCCTCAGTAGCATGTTTGAGAAGGTTAGTCTCTTCCCCAAAAAATTGTCAGTCTCAAAGGCCAAGTATTCCCATCTTACTCAACATGTGAGAACTGGATTAGGGACTGAGACTTGCTTAATGTCACAGAAGTTTGCAGCTCCAGTGCCTTAACTCGCCCTGCCTCTGAAGACTGCCCTTACTTAAATCTAATTCTTAACTGAAGCCCCATCAGGCTTTGTAGTTTAATTTTTTCCAGAATGAGTTTAATTATCAGCTGGTTTTGTTGTCATTGCTGCAATGGCTTTTATTTAAGGCCAATGGCATCTAACTCTGAAACATTTTGCTAAAATTTACTTCTCTTTTAAAAACCTTTTCAAACTTCTAAGAAGTCGTCCCCAGCCTGATTGTTTTCTCTTGGCAGGTCACATTTAATGTGAGTAGAGTCTGAGTGTTCTAGTTCTGTGATTGAAATCTCGCCCTGCGTGTTGCATTAATGTATTTGTTTAGCTTAATATGCAGCATCTCTATTTTACTGCTGCTGTTGAATGTTTTTGCAGGTTTCTTGTCTCTCTTTTCAAAGTTGTCATTGCAGAGTGGCTGAGCTGATGTGATATTTTTGTCACTGCATGCCAAAGTAGTAATGCCTCCTTACTGGAGGTACGCGTTATTTCAGACACCAAAACTGGGGTGTGGTGCTGTTAGATCATGTGAGTCTGGCAGAGAATCTGCCTGGAGTTTTTATTGGCACCTATTTGCATGCAGGTGATTAATAAACATAAAACAATTATTCCCTTGCAAACACCCTTGTTGCATTCAGGTTGGAGTGGAACATATGTTTTGCCCGAGGGCAGGGACCGGGATCTCAATCCCCCATTGAGTGAAAGATACAGGGGTTGCATCAGAAGCCAACAGAGCAGCAACCTCTGGGAATGAATAAATACAGACGTTTACTGCAGAGCGGCGGAACAAAAGAACTGGCCCACAATGAGATGGGAGCCTAGCCTCTAATGAAGCAGCTTCTTCTGAGGACTTTCCAAGAATTTACACCTTTTAAGGAAAGGTGTAATACTTTTGCTGTGTGGCTTTGGATTGTTTCGAAGGTGTACAGTGCTGATCTTTAAATTCAGAAACATTCAACTTTCATTTTTAACAGGAATATATGGAACCTGTTTGAAAAATCAATGCTTTGAGTTTCTCATTTGCATTACTTCAGGAGAAGAAAACCTCTTACCTGCTTTAAGTTTAGCCCTAAAGCTTGTGGAAACCATATTTTGCCTAGAATGCAGGAA